ATCCTTGACCGGTTCAGTCTGCATCTTAGAGAGAAGTACGACCTGCAGTGGCTTGGAAAGAATTCTAGACACAACTTACCCAATTATATTTTCACAATTGTTTGATTCTATTTCCAAACTCATAAAAAGCCAGTGCACTTACTATTTTGGCTTTTTAATTTAAAATAGACTCAAATGTAAGCATGTTGATGCTTTGGCTGTTTTGAAACATTCCTTTGAAGACAGTATGTCCAGGAGCTAATTTAGGCACAAGTTGTTTCTATAGGTTTACCCTTGTATATATTCACTCTTGCATAATTATACTACTGTAGAAAAGAACTCCAGGATAAGTTCCCAAGAATAATATTCCAAGCCATGCTATAAAACTAACATGAGAAAGAAACTACCACTGCTTAATGGATGCAGGGTTTCCTTTTGGGGTAACGAGAATGTTTTAGAATTAGATAGAGGTAGTGGTTGCACAGCCTTGTGAATGTATTGAGTGCCAATGACCTGCACCGAAGGTGTTAGTTTTAGGTTGTGTGAATTTCACCTCTATAAGAAAAAGAGTTAAAAAAAAAAAAAAAAAAGGGAGGGGGGGAGAAAAAAAATCTCTGCCACCAATGAGCACTAAAACCCGGAAACTCAAATTTACTGCAACATATGCCAACACCAGTACTGATGTCATTTCTGATTCAGGATATTGACCTTGCAACCATGATGCCCTCTCTGAAAGCAAGGTAGATATGCCCCAGGTCATGCCAGCAACATGGGAAACGTCACAGAACATCATCTTCATGTTGCAGATGTTTCTGTCAACACACAAGTTACTGTCTGTATTCTAGAAGCATGAATACAAAGATGAACTTTACAAATGGCATCACCTCCTTGCGTTAACCAGGACTTCTACTAGTTACATGTCTGCTGGGTAAGATCCTTAAAACTCAAATTTCACCGGAGTTAACTAATGAGATTTGGATCTCAAGGTCATGGGTACACCCACCAAGTACTCTGGATATTAGGAATGGATTCCTCCTAGCCCGTCTTAATATTCTTAGAATCAGATTACCAGATCTATCTGGCTCCCCACTCATACTGCAACTCATTTAGTCTCTTCAGTTAGTCTTTTGGATACTGATAGCAGTTTATCCCAGTCTCTAAACCTTTGCTGTTTGAAGTGTGGTCTATGGACCAGCAGCATCAATATCACCTGGAGACTTGTTAGAAATGAAGAATCTCAAACCCCACTTCAAAGTTGCTGAATCACAGTCTGTGTTTTATCAAAATCCCAGGTGACTCTTGTGCACATTAATGTTTGAGAAGCATTGCTTCCTAGGACCTATCTATACTTTCCATTTGTTAACTCAGTCTTTGTGAAAACATTCTGACCCAACGGCAAAAATCAAGGTCAGCTGCGCACCACAGAATAAAATTGCCACAGAATTGCCTGATGATTCCCAATTGGTGATTGTTCCTATTACTTGCTTTTGTTGGTAATTGAAGGTTGCTTTTGAGATGAAAGGGAGATTTTTCTCCAAAACGAAGTGAATTTGCTACTCCAGAGTGAGAAAGGCTAGGCTTTAGCAAACAAATACGCTTGTCAAAAACGCTAGGCCCTTTTATAGACTTTATGTTTGTCCAAACACAGAGACGTTGGATGTTTCTTTTCCTCCATGTTTCAAAGTATTGGATCAGAGTTGGGAGGAATCCCCATGCCAGAGCTTTTACCGAGCAAATAGTGAAGCTCTGGACACAGTACCAATTGCATTTTCCATGGCAGGGCTAGCACGGTCTCAACTCAGCAGACAATTTAAGGATATGCCTTACACCTGGCTACCACCATCCAAGGTTTATTGTAACATCCAACAGTGACCTGTATGGTGAGGGAAGCAATCGTAACTACGACTAACTTCTACTTCAAAATAACAAAATAATATTGAACTTTCTGTCTCCAGTGAGGTAATCACATGGTTTTTATCCTTTAATTTGTAGTATAAATGACACAGGTTTTTCAGATGTTGAAACATCTTTGGATTCCTAGGAGGTGCCCCACTTGGTTCATGGTATAGAATTTTGTATACACTATTGTATCACCTTGCCCATATTTTACTGAAAGAATTTTCCTCTATGTTCATGAGTAAGATTAGTGTATACATTAATTTTTCATGCTATGCATGACCAGGTTCAGCTTTGAGATTTTATAAACTCTATGAAATGGATTAGGTGGCTTGCTTTCTTTTCTATTCTCTGAAAGTTTCTTTAATATAGGAATTATCAGGTTCTTGATATTTTGATAAAACTCACCTTGTAAACCTTGTCTTTTGGTGAGGTGCGGTTAGGATTACTAATTCCATTTCCTTAGTAGTTACTGGTTGATTTAAATTGCCAAAATCTCTTAGATGAATCGTTTTTCTTCTACACTCAAAATTTCTGTCATAAAGTTAATGGTATTCTTAACAATCATTTTTCATCTCTATTTGTAGTTAGATTTTCTTGTTTTTATCTAAATAGTATTCATTTGGGCCTTTTTCCTCCCCTCTTTACTCCTTGCTAGTGGTTTCTCTGGACGTATCTCTTTTGATCAGCCTACAGAGGCTCCCTTGAGGTACAGCCTTCAGCTATTTGCTGTCACAAATAGGAAGGCTTCACCTACCGGAACAATGTTTGTGTATTTATTTCTTTATATTTAGCTTTATACTAAAGCTATTAAACCCATAACTTTAGTAGTGCAGTTTTGCTACTCCTTTACCTTCTCCTTTTCTTCTGTATTTTCTCCTTTTGCCAAATTTCTTGTGTCGATTACTACTTATAGTTTTATTGTACAGATTCATTTCTGTGTGAGGTATCATTTTGAGAAAGGGCACCTGTTAAATTCGTTATTCATTATGCATTTACAGAATACACAGTTATAAGTACCTAGTATGTACTGGGCAGCATTGGAAATACTGGGAGTAAATAAGGAAAAGAAATAGTTCATATCAAATCAGATTATTTTTATACTGTAATATAGTAAAATAAATGACATTCCGTTTCTCTCTCCAATTCTATTTCAGTTATGTAACCAGATGGGCTTTTTAAAAGTTTTTGGACAAATAATTAGATATTTTTGTATAGTACTGTAATTCCATAACTATTTTGAATCCCATAATGGAGAACATGAAAGTATAAACCCATGGCAAGAATACTATGGCCCTTTATATTTGAGTTAGACTTTAAAATGTCCTGGCCTCATAAACGGTTTCTTCGAGGAAATTTTCACCTTTTTAAATTTATTATAAACAGATGTCAACATTTCCATTCGAAACTACAAAATTTCCGACAGTATCCTATATGACAACTGCAGGAGGTGTACTTCTTGACTTTCAAAAAGTGACCTCCTACGTGAATGTAACAGTCAAATGGAAGTTTCTTGGGTTTATCTTCCTGGAATGAAAATTGTATACTTTTGCTCAAAAATCTCTAATAGAGTAAAAGACAGCTGTCACCATTCCCCAGTAAACATAACAGCTTTTGCAAGATGAGAAAAAAGGCCTAAAGTTTTGCAGGAAAAACTGGCAATCTTGTACCAGAATAAAGAAACCTAGAAACGCATTCCAAGCTTCACTAAAATGCAATCTCATTGCTGAAAAACTTTTAAAAATTACAGTTGGACTGTGTATAACTATGTAAAATATTGGCCCCAGGGAGGAAGGAGTATTAAGATTAATGATAATAATATACACCTATACTGTGTTTACTAAGTGACAAGCACTGTTCTTATGTATGTAAACAAGTTAATTTCATGTTATAAATTAAAAACAAAACAAAACTGACAATCTTGTCTTTTCCTGTTAAAATCCTATGGTTAGCAATTGCTGAAGAAATGTGAAGGCTCCAGAAAAAAGTGTGCAGTATGTCTAATTCTTCCCAAACATGTAAACAGAACAAAAGGGCAGTAATTTCAAAATGCCAGAACTAGGCAAACCAGTGGTGTGTTTTTTTTTAACATAGATAAAATCCTTCACACCTCATTATAGAATTTGTTTTAAGCACTGAGCTTGCCTGTAAGAAAATTAACCACTGGGGCCAGAAGTTAATCACATATGATGAAAAGTTCCCTCAGGAAAAGCCAAGATTGCAAACGAGCGAACTCAACCCTGATTACCCATCTGTTAAAAGTTCGCATTTATGACACAGCAGTTGAAGACATAACTGAAACTGGTTGGCTGATTTTTGGCTTCCTCTCTGATTAGCCATTCACAGGCCACAAAGGGACAGTAACTAGTAGTTTGTTTCCTGTTATTTACCTGCAGAGTTTGTTATAGAACTTGCTGGATTGGGGCACCTGGGTGGCTCAGTCGGTTAACCGTCCGACTTTGTCTCAGGTCATGATCTCGAAGTTTTGAGTTCGAGCCCCACGTCAGGCCCTGACAGCTCAGAGCCTGGAGCCTGTTTCGGATTCTGTGTCTCCCTCTCTCTCTGCCCCTCCCCTGCTCACGCTCTGTGTCTCAAAAATAAATAAACATTAAACAAATTAAAAAAGAAAAGAACTTGCTGGATTTAACAACAAAGGGAAGTTGTGGTCATATCCCATTATTCAGGAATAAGATAGGAATCTGTCTTTGACTAGATTTAGTTCTGAATTTTCAACTGGTACAGAGGGTAATACTGGTTAAATTAAGACCTTTCCTACAGTTACTTACGTTGTGAAAACTTACTCAAAGGGCACATTAATATAACCTTTCAAAAATCACACAACAGAAGACCTTCACTAATGTAGTCAGTCTTCTTTGCATGTTTGGACAGTGAAAATCTAGGATAACTCAAACCATACAAATTCCACCTTTTGCTTTCTCCATTAGAATATACACATTGGAGATCAAGTTCCAAAAATCTCCTCTACTGAAGATAGTGAGACTTGGGTGTAAGCCACCTAGCCACATTTTGAACTCTTATAGAACGTCGACACCTGATGATGGAAGAGATTCTAATTTAAAAAGTATATTTTTGAAAACCTAAATTGACCCAGTTAATTTTCAAAATAAGAGTTAATTCATGTTTTCAGTTTATTGTCACACACAAAACATTTTATAAAATAATATGGTAGACTTCCACTTAAACATCTTCATGTAAAAACTTCAGTGCAAGAAAGTGATCACTATTAAGTATGAAGACATCTAAAGCCAGCCAGTAATTTAAGTATAGGGAGGATATTTTTGCGATTCTTCCTAAAAAATGTTGGCACATTCATTAAATGCCCAGATTATAAAAATCACTTAGTATCCACTGCTTATCCTTCAGTATATTTTTATAGCTACATGGCATCACATTAAATGCTGGTGGACGAAACAGCCTAAGAATCTAAAAACTTTTCAAGGAGCACAATGATTTGAAACCATCGAGGCGAATGCTAGCCCCCAAATATTTTTGTATGTAATCTTTTGTCCATTACCACAAACAAGGTAAAAAAGTTGTTATACCTTAAAAAGAAGATAAAGGAAAACATTTCACTTTTCCTTTAATTTTGGGTGAGGGGAGAGAAAGTGTTTTATAAGTAAAACATCAAGTTTATGTCAGTTGTACAAATGTCTTATTTAGGAAAGAGTATTTTGATTTAAAGAATTCTAAAATATTTCATCATTACAAAAAAGGTGTAATTTAAAGCTAAAAAGTTATAACACTTTTAACTAATATAAATCATCCACTAGCATATCCTATTACTTTTCACAAAATCCATAATTAAGGAACAATATAGATTAGGTAAAAGATCTCTTTTTCCAACATTTGGTCGAATTAGCTAAGAACCCCTGGGCAAACCACACACCACAAGTCTCAGGACTATTACCTCTCAAGTGAGGATCCTGGACTAACTGCCCTATTACATCCCTTCCAGTTTACAAATGTGTATAGAATTGTTAAACTAATTTTGAAAGTGAGGTGTTTCGACCCAATGTAAGTTCCCCACGTTTAAGTAGTAAAGCTGTTCTTTAAACATTTAAAATCTTACCTTAAATGTATTTTCACTATATTTCCCTGTCACCTTACATGATGAGGTATGACTCACAAGGTCCTCTAACTTCATGGTCTCCCAGACTTGGCGGCTGACAGTGATCAGCGGGTAGAGCTCAGGCCCTGCCTCCCATTCTGTGCAACTTTGGACCACCCTCTGAGTCTCCAATCAAGGATGATACCACCAGCTCTGTAACTGTTTTAAGGCCCAACAGAGTTATCATAATCTAGCAAAGTACTGGTAAACTACAAATTACCATATGAATGCAAAGAATTGTTACTAAGCCCTAGCTGAAGTTTTCCTGACAACAGAATCTAAACATTTCTTATAAAATATATGTTCTTTGTCAATACTTGTCCATTTATGGTTCTGATCCTTTGGTTACTTGACTGTTCTCACACAGTCAATTTGTCTCCAGCTTTTAATTATGCTTTTAATTGCACCAGGCCTGAGAGTGCTGGTCTTTTCCTGGAGTCTAGAAGTCTGACCTTTCAGTAAGTGAGAATCAAAACCTAAAGATCTCTGTTACTTTAGGAAATGTGGTATGGTCACTCACTTTAAAAGAGTGGTTTCCTAACTGGGTGAGGCATCAGACTCAGCTGGGAAGCGTTTTAAAGATTGTGATTCCTGGGCTCCAGCCACAGACAGTCTGATTCTGTATGTCTGGAGTAGAACCCAGAAAAGCTCTCTGTCTCAAAAGTTCCCCCAGATAATCACAATAATCTATAGTTCAATTTTGGGGACTCACTGTTTTGCCCTCAATTTCTTTTCTAGAATTTTAGCAGCTGCTAGTTTGTTTTTAGTATAAAAATTTCCCCCTGCATTAATCACAAGAAGCACATTCAGGGGAGACTGCCTACAATCTTGGCTTAGCTTCACAGGGAACTTATTACAATCCCTTGCAATGAAACTAAAAAATGATAAATCACCTTCAGAGTGAAGACAGTGCAGGTAGAGGCTGAAAGGTGGCTGCTGCTTCACTAACACGGCAACTGTTTTCTGCTTCACGTAGAGTCAGTCACTGGTACATCTGAAGACTGTCTTATTACAGCTGTCATTACACACTAATGAAGGATGGTACAACTCCAGAAAACAGAGGGATGGCTAACTAGCTTATCGGTATTATGAAGAAAATGTTTCTAGCAGACATGAACGAAAAGTTCTTTGAAACACACACACACACACACACACACACACACACACACACACACAGCTTTCCGTAGAAACCCAAAGACTTCCGTGCTTCTGAAGTCTACCATAAAGAGAAAAGTTGACCAAAACTACAGGTGTTTAAAAATATGCTCAATTAACTGTGAAAATATAAGTGAAAAATAGGTACAATTTCATCCTTTAGTAGCCTTGACGGACATAAATGGAATTCACTTTCCATCTATTCTACCCAAATAGTTAATTCTGAAAATAACACATGACGTATTTGGTATAATGTGGTTCTGAACATCATCCCTTCCAAATTTAATACAGAAGCCACATTTGGATTTTCCAGGTGTCCCGAACGGATCTAGGCACTGCGAAATGTTGTCATGTCTTTTGGTTCTCTGCTAGGGACGCACCAGTCATCAGCCTCGTGGTTGGTGTTGTAGTGCTTCCAGGCAGCTTTGTTATACACTGGGAGTCTTTCTATGGAGTCTGTTGACAGAGCCTGAAAGAAAGAGCAAGACTTAAAAGTCTGGCGCTTTGTTTTTAGAATCCACTATTTGAGAAAATATACAATGGCAAAAAGGTCATTACGAATTAAACAGTACTTTATTGGATTCGTATTTTACTAATCATTAACAGCATGTACGTACATTATGAAACAGTGTACATATTTGAAACGCGTTATTTACTAAGTCTATTGCACTGCTGGGTGTGCATATTGCTTAACTGTTTTGTTTGCAGTAATTGTCCAGCCAGCCTGGAAGCTGCTGGATTGAAATTTTACACAGGGAAAGGAGATGCCTCTTATAAAAACACGACCCAGAACTTGGTTAACTGAAAAAATCAGTTAAGTGTAAAAGCATAAAAATTGACATATGTACCTTAACATATAATTATACAATCATTTAATGAACTCTATTTCAATTATTTGTTAGAAGAAATACTATTTTTTTCAGCAGCCATCCTAAAAAGATTCTCGATAAATACAAAACCATGTCTAAGGCGTCTTGGCTTTTGCTTGAAAAATTCTTGGCCTTGGGTTTGATCCTGTGTCTCTTCTCCTACCATTAAAGCCACCAATTTGTTATGGCATATGGGATTTCTGCATTGTGCATAATTCCATGTTTCCAACATACCATCACCATTATTAATTCACTGTTCTATTTCAGTTTCCTGTAAATCAGTGGAATCTGAGACAGACTATGTTTTTCCTGATCTTCTTCAAGTTAAGATATTTTAGCAGGAATTCAATGTTAAGCCACAGGTATTAAGATGCAGCAAATATTGAACAGGAAATCTCTTTCCGATGATGGTAAGGAAGGTCTTTGACACTGATTTTAATGATTTTTAAGATTCCTGTCTTCTATTTTTTTCCAAAGTGGAATTGAAAACCTTTCACCTATATATTCTCTTTAAATATGCCAGAACTGCCAGAACCCCTTATTCTTCTGTAGGCTAGATCAAAAATGTTACATTTGCTAATAAAAATGTTACCTTCATGTCGCCCTTTTAAAGTTACTCACAATTGAGCTGGTTTGAAAAAAAAATTATTATCTTGGAAGAATTTAACCTTTTCAGATAAATTTAGTTTTTCCAATATACAGTCTTCAGCATTTCCTATAAAATAGGTGCCATCTAGTGGCCAGACCAAGAAACTTGAGTCACTATATGAGGTACCAGTGGGCTGATGGGGCTCAGTACTCTCTAACCCTGTAAAATAAGCTGATCTTTGCATAAACACATGGAACATCACAGGCCAGTAGGCTAACTGCTTGTGCTCCTACAAGGTGAGCTATATGCTTACCAAGAATCACCTGTGCTTGTTCCCAAATCTGTTAGGCACTTCTATCATTGTAATTACATAATGTAATCAAGTACTAAACAAGTACTGCTTGAACAAAATGCAAAACAAGGGTGGGGGTAGGTTCTTTGAAAACTAAGATGAATGCTTTGGAAAGACTTATGAAGGAAAGTCACATAAAAATTGCCATCAAATCCGAGTCAGAAGACATCTGTAAGGGACTACATATAAATAAGAAAGGATTATGCACTTGATTGTTTCTTTGTTTAAAGAAATCAAAACAATGCATTGTAAGTATAGCTTCTGCAAGAAAGACTACTGAAACTTGAATCTGCAGACTCCTATTCAAAGAAAAGACCATGGCAGTACATCAAAAAAAGATTGGTGGATCAATGTCCATTCATGTGTTTTATATTAAAATTAAACTTCTATGATATATAACTTTTTATGATTCCCCACTTCATTTTTTTAATATGAAATTTATTGTCAAATTGATTTCCATACAACACCCAGCGCTCATCCCAACAGGTGCCCTCCTCAATGCCCATTACCCACTTTCCCCTCCCTCCCACCCCCCCATCAACCCTCAATTTATTCTCAGTTTTTTTTTTTTTTTTAACGTTTATTATTTTTGGGACAGAGAGAGACAGAGCATGAACGGGGGAGGGGCAGAGAGAGAGGGAGACACAGAATCGGAAACAGGCTCCAGGCTCCGAGCCATCAGCCCAGAGCCCGACGCGGGGCTTGAACTCACGGAGCGCGAGATCGTGACCTGGCTGAAGTCGGATGCCCAACCGACTGTGCCACCCAGGCACCCCTATTCTCAGTTTTTAAGAGTCTCTTATGGTTTGGCTCTCTCCCTCTCTAACTTTTTTTTTTTCCCCTTCCTCTCCCCCATGGCCTTCTGTTAAGTTTCTCAGGATCCACATAAGACTGAAAACATACGGTATCTGTCTTTCTCTGTATGGCTTATTTCACTTAGCATAACACTCTCCAGTTCCATCCACGTTGCTACAAAAGGCCATATTTCATTCTTTTTTCATTGCCAAGTCATATTCCATTGTGCATATAAACCACAATTTCTTTATCCATTCATCAGCTGATGGACATTTAGGCTGTTTCCATAATTTGGTTATTGTTGAAAGTGCTGCTATAAACATTGGGGTACAAGTGCCTCTATGCATCAGCACTCCTGTATCCCTTGGGTAAATTCCTAGCAGTGCTGTTGCTGGGTCATAGAGTAGATCTATTTTTAATTTTTTGAGGAACCTCCACACTGTTTTCCAGAGTGGCTGCATCAGTTTGCATTCCCACCAACAGTGCAAGAGGGTTCCCGTTTCTCCACATCCTCTCCAGCATCTATAGTCTCCTGATTTGTTCATTTTAGCCACTCTGACTAGCATGAGGTGGTATATGATTCCCCACTTCAACCTGACTTTTTTTCTAACAACCATAGTCCTGATCATTTCAGATTAGAGTGTGTCTTTTCCCATAGTCAAAGAGATCATTTGTGAATATAGATGAGATCCTACATAAAAACCACATTCTTATATTTTAATAGCAATGAGGTAAAAGAAAATTTCATTAAAGCTACATATTGGCATCTTTTCTCATAACCAAAAGAAGTATTATTAAATCAAAAAGACTATGTTATTACCTTAATGTAGATAACTGCATCTGTCCCATAACCCTCTAGAGAATATAGCTTTAGGTCTCCTTGGAAGTACTGGGCATAAAGACGTGATATGGGCAATCCATAACCAAAACCAGCCTGTTTGATGAGAAAAATGAAATTCTATTCAGAAAGCCACACAGTAAAATACTTTTCTAGTTAAAATAAATGCTTCTGAGTATCCCATGGCTATCAGAGCCTGCATGTAAGAGATCATTAATACCTAACTACTAATACTGATCAGACGGAAGCCTAGTTGGGTACTACATTAGATGACTCCCCACTGGTCATTTAAAACTCATTCTTTTTTTCTGTAGAATGACTCCTGTAGATCTAGAACAGCACATTGCTCTTCTTCGCTGCCATGCTCTACAGTATCCCAGTATTGCTTTCGGCAATATCACATAAAACATGTTCTTTCTCTTAGGAGCAGGAGTAGAAAAAGCTTTGTTGCAGCCTCAGAGATACATACATCTTTTGACTTCACACCATGAATTTCCAGCCTGTGTTCTGAACCTGGATAGATCAATAATAGGTCCACTTTCCTACTCACTGACAAGTCACTTCCCTGCTTAAAAACATACAAAGCACATCACCGCTAACACCACGCCCTACCCACCCGCCATCCCCAACCCACTGCCTTGAGATAAAATTCAAGCTTCTAAAAAGAGCTTTCAAGACCTGATCAGACCAGGTCTCTGCCTCCCACCTTCCAGTCCAGCTGAACCAAATCTCCTGCTCTTAAGTTCCTCAAACAAATGTTAGTTTTCACTTCTGTGTCTTTGTTCATCCTGTTCCCAGTATCTGGAATGGCCTTCTTTACCTGAATAAATCCTACAGATTCTTTAATGCAAAGCAAAACATTTGGACAAATGTAAAAACAGTTTTTATCACCAAGTCAGATGTTCGATGATATTCCATGTTAACACTTCAGTTAAGAGTTTCTGTGGATTCGGAAATCAGAATGCTATTAACAAATGCAGGCTCTGGCTTTACCTAACTCTACCATTTATTACTTGACTTTTCCAACCAGAGTTTCTGTTTATCCCTCCAAATCAACAACCCATTCTCCACATTACTCCTTGCCCCGGGAGGATTATGTCAGTGGATCCCCCTGCCCTCTGCTTCCAGTGGGTCCAGCCAATAGGGAAGTCTGTAGGAGTTCAGGGGGAGTCAAGTCAGGATATTTATTCCTCTGCTTTCTTCCTGCTGAGTTGCTTCCCTTGGGGCTGGACCACTGAGTGTAAGCAGCTGCTCTGTTACTGTCTCTTCTTCTGGGTTCTGCCAACTTCTCCTTCTCCCTTTGATTCAGGGTGGGAACAGCTCTATGCTGCCAGCCCTGGATCCCTATACTACCCCTGCCCATAGCTCTGTAATTTGTTTGTCAATATGCCTTCCTTGCATTATAATTTGAATGAGCTATTTCGTTCCTTGGTTGGGACCCTGACTGATGCATTAAATGGTCCCAGAAATAGCCTCTAGGAAACTGCACAAGCCATGTGGCTCAGGATCCCATGGTACCTGATCTACTTGATCACCTGCCTCTACCTCAACCACACACAGGGACTCACAGGGCTTCCCCTATAAACAGTTAACAGGGAAAGAGAACACCATGGGCCTGGTGCACCCACGACCTACATGTTTGCCAGCACCAGCCAAAGTGGACTGCCCTTTCGCTACGACCCTTCTCAGAGGCAGGCCTGAAAGGTGGGCATGAAGTGAATCCTACCAGCGGGCAGAGCTGGGAGTTCTGCGACTACAGGGACTCACAGGCAGTGGCAAGGAAGCTGGCTGGCCGGTCAGGGACTTAGAACAAAACTGGGTAACTAATGAGAAGAAGGTCTGGAAGAGAGAAATGTGGATGGTTGTCTCTGAACGGGCTTCCACTGTGAAGATATTCTGTCCATGCAGATGCCCACCAGGTGTCCACATGGAGGAAGCACTCAGTAACCAGGTAGACGAGATGGTCACACCCGTGGATGTCAAGCAGCACTTCTCCAGCCGTCCCAGTGCTGGCTTACTGGGTCTACTTACAAAGTGGCTGTGACACGAGGAGGGAAGCTCTGTAAGAGCCTAATGGTGGTCTTAGCCTTGGTAAGTCTATGTCGATGTACAGAGAAGCCTGTGCCACGCCACACCTCGTTTTCTTAAAAATTCACATAAGTGTTGCATCCTAAATAACACTTATATGGCATTTACTACATGCCAGGCACCATAAAAAGTAATTCTACGTATATTAACTCAATCCTCACAATAACTTGATTTTTAAAGTTAGGAAAACTACAGCATTAAAAGTTCAATAATTTTCTCAAAGCTATACAGCCAGGATAGAGTGGAGTGGGGCAGGGAATCAGACAGTTTTGATCCAGAGTCTGGACTGGTATTCTATGCCACTCTTCATAAAAATTCTACAATAGTTATTACAAAGCGGTATAGCTAAGAATCTAAGAAGATGCTCCTGTTTATTATTTGACCATGTCTGCCTGTTGGCACATGGATGCACATGTATCTCAATTTGAGAAGCACATCCCTGGAGTAATCATTTTAAAAGTATGGTAAGAACATGAACTATATTACAGTTGTAATGACAGAATCTGTGCTGTGTAACAAGTAAAACTGTTAGAATAAAGTCCTTCTAGGAACTTCTTAGAAAGAACCTAAAATAGATCCATCTGGTACTGTATGTCATCATGTTACTGCATAACCCCAATGCATATGTCAGAGAAGTTTTAAAGCCCAGAAGAACAGCTCTTCCAGAGTTACAGGTCAGAGATTTGGCAAAGTGCTTTTCTAGGGGTTAGAGGACAAGGATGGAACCAGTTCAAAAGCCGATCACATTATATCTGAAAATAGGTAGCTGAGATCAATAAAAACTACCATCACAACAAAAATAATTTGAGCCTTTTCCAGGCTGGTGATTAGATGATCAGCACTCTAGTCTTTTTTCTGAGTCTAGAATATGAGTTCTTTCTAATTATCAGTACTTGAGGAAAAAGAAACCAACACTGAAGAGTAAATCAGTGTTGGCCAAATGCTAGTAAAACCGGTAATTTAGTCTTCACGTTAGACATGGTGTATCAAAACATGGTTAACCACATGAACACTACTGACACATCACTATCAAGTGAGGCAACGAGAACTGTAAAACAATACTTTGTCTTGTGCTCTTTTCTCTTAAAAAAATTTTTTTGGGGGCACCTGGGTGGCTCAGTTGGCTGAGCGTCCAATCAGCTCAGGTCATGATCTTGCGGTTTGTGAGTTCAAGCCCCATGTTGGGCTTGTGCTGACAGCTCAGAGCCTGAAGCCTGCTTTGGATTCTGTCTCCTCCTCTCTCTGCCCCTCCCATGCTCATGCTCTGTCTCTCTCTGTCTCTCAATAATAAATAAACATTAAAAAAATTTTTTTTAATAAATAAAAAATTAAAAAAATTTTTTAATGTTTTAAAATTTACTTTTGAGAGAAAGAGACACAGAGTAAGCAGGGGAGGGGCAGACAGAGAGAGGGAGACACAGAATCCGAAGCAGTCTCCAGGCTCTGAGCTGTCAGCACAAGCCTGACGTTGGGCTCGAACTCACGAACTATGAGATCATGACCTGACCCGAAGTCAGACGCTCAACTGACCAAACCACCCAGGCGACCCATGTCTTATGCTCTTTTCAATCAAAAGAAGAAACCAGCCAAAGGCTGTTTAAATTTAGAGGAGAGTGTTTTTCTATTAGCTTCGTTTCTTCCTTAGGGGTACCCTACACAAGTGCTTACCTGATTTATTTGGTAATTTATTTGGTACTTATTTTATTTTTTTGGCAATTCACAAAAACACACTTCATTCTTTCTTTTCTTTTTCTTTTTTGTACTTCACTATTTCTTGATCACATACCAGGGGCACTGCTCGAGATGTCTCCACACGAGGCCGGGGTGCAGTTGAGTACATGTAGTTGAAGAGTCTGTCAATTTTCCTCAAAGGAACACCACCTCCTCGGTCACTCATCTACGGTGAGAAAGGATCATGCCCTATGACCAAGTCCCATAAACAGCAAAACACCAACACACAACTGCTGGCTGGAGAATACTGCTTTTAAAAAATGAGTACCATGCAATCCAAGTTACAAGTGTAAGCAGTTTCCTCACTGGTAGGCTTCATACAACTCCTCCAGTATATGGACAATTCTAACACATAACAAACTCCATCACAATATAGAGTCAATGCTGTGGCTCTGTATATTTACTCAAGTCACACACAAACAGTACAGTGGGAACAGAATGGGGCATAAACTAAGTCTATCTTGGATGTAACAATAAATTTGTTAATCCTTTCTGGTGGGTGGTTTGACAATCAGATTCAAAATGCATGTAGTACACTTTGACCCAACAGTGCTTTCCCTAGAAGTATGCAAAGTATGTATGAGGATATCCATCACAGCACTATGTAGAATAGCTAAAAGTGGATTACAATCTACAGTCCTCCGCTCTACCAACTGAGCTATCGAAGGCTCCGCTAAGTGGATTACAATCTTAATAGAGGACTATTTAAGTAAACTAATGCACATTCTAAAATAGAATACTATTGAGCCATTACGTATAATGTAGAACTGTATATACTGGCATGAAAGAGGCCCACAAGACATTGTTCAGCTGCACAGAACCCCAGACAGCTTTCTGGTGAGTTTTTAAAGTATACTGGTCTTTATATTGTTCTAATGTCATTTCTCAACTCAAATCATACGGTAGGTGGAATTTAGTAATTTATTTACAGACTATTTCATTCTGTTTCCTTCATAGTTAACATGGTCTTATTTCCTATTTATAGTTTACATTCTCATCTATTACAGTTATTTTCTTTTGTCACAAAATCTAAATTGATTTTACTATCTATGACATTATACAGTTGTCATAAACAAATCTGTTTTAACATGTGTGTGTATATGAATGAATGAACAAATGAATAGATAGACAGACAGAGAGATAATGCTGAATGGTTAAAAAGTCACTAGGCTAGGGATGTCTGGCTGGCTTAGTTGGTAAAGCATCCTGACTCTTGATCTCAGGGTCATGAGTTGGAGCCCCATGCTGGGTGCAGAGATACTTAAAAAAAGTAAAAAAAAATAAAAGTAAAGACTTGGTCACAAATAAGTTTAAAAGCACGTTATTAAAAAAAAGTCAATAGGCTTGACGGCTTATAGTTGAGTTTTTATATGATCTTTAAATATCTTTACAGTATGTATATATACTACTTTCATAATAAAAGTTACATAGATATTCTAATTTTTAAAATAAAAATCTGCTTTGAAATACCATTTGATGGCTTGCCTTTGATATATCTACAATTAGAAAATTACAATATAAGGCAAAAATATATAAAGACTTTAATCAGAACCTGTAAGTACACGTGCTTGAAATTGTTCTTGGCTTTGAATTCAAAGCCCAGTGATGAGATTTATTTTAGTAAGATTAATAAAGAGCTCTGAGTATTTTCTGAAATCCATCAATTTGTTAATTATTCATTCTTTAATGCTCTGCCGCACGTTTGCTGGTAACATTACTAAGAAGCGTGGGTGTTCCATAAATATTAACTAAATATATTAGAATAGATATTACGATTAAAAGGTAGACTTCAATAAATACTTCCTGGTTTTCCTTAACCTTTGGCCAGACAGATTATAGCAATCTTGTAGGAAACAAGAAGTGATTTCTAGCCAGAGGCCAGTATTAGAAAAGCAGAGAGCTGAGCATAAAGGACAGAGGTGACTTTGAGAAGTGTCATCTTATTAGAGGTGAAGGGGGTAAATTAAGCCATAGGAATGTAGTTAAAAACTGAGAAAGGTAACCCCTTTTTGATTTGCAGCCAAAAACATAATAAACTGGAACCAGCAGATTTTTAAAGTGGTCAAAAGGGTTTCCAAGAGAATTGTACCAAATGACATTACACCAGAGTATTTGAGTTCTGTGGAAAAAGAGATGGAGGGATTAATAGTAGAGACGGGCAGACGGTTGGTCAGTACATATTTAAGAATGGAAGACTGACAACAAATATATTGAGAAAGATGTGAAAATTAAAAATTTTCTGATTAAGATAATTTGAAGAAAAAAAATCTAGACTCATGGGAACAAACCTACATAAAGGAAATATCAAGAGATTATGAAAGAGATCATGGTGCAGAGTAACGTCAACAAAAAGGCTTAGAAAGAGAAGTCTGGCAATTATGTTTAAAGTTTTCTCTTTAGTGTGTGAAATCACCACATCTCAATGTCATCTAACCAAGAGTTACTATCCCTAACTTCCTGTTTCCAATAACACTGGCCTCCCTGGGCTAATTCACGTGAATTTCAGGTCCAAGGGAAATGAACCACTACTAACTTGATGACAGCTCTAAAGGAAAGAGATTTATTAACCCTAAACTCACCCAGAGCTCCTGAAGTTTCTTACTCAAGAGCTTATCAATGTCAAGTTTGTAAAATCACCAACAGGGTATGAACCAAGACATTTACATTTTAATTTAAAAGATGTGGCTGTAACATTTATGTTATTTACTGAATACAGCATAAACATCAAATCTGAAAGAGCAGCTCCATTCGAATGCTGGAAAAAAACAATTGTCTCACAGGATTCTTAGCAGAGAAAAAAAGGTGAAAAATGTCAAAAATTTGAATAAGCTAAAAGAATGGGATAAAGACTATATAGGGCACCTGGGGGGCTCACTCAGGAACCCGCCTCTTAATTTTGGCTCAGTTCATGAGACCGAGTCACACACCGGCCTCTGCAATGACAGTGCAGAGCCTGCCTGGGATTCTCTCTCTCTGCCCCTCCCCTGCTCTCTCTCTCTCTCTCTCTCTCTCTCAAAATAAATAAACATTAAAAAAAAAAAAAAGACTATATAAAAACTCAACTTTAAGCCATCGTGTTGACTTTTTAATACATATCATTCAGCATTATTTTTCTCTCTACATATCTGTATAAATATGTTAAAAGCAGACCTTGAGCCTGAAAATCTAGTATTAGTGATAGGGATGAAAACTCTACTGAAGAAAATTAAAGGAAGCATTTAATAGGAGTAGAGATAACAGGAGCAGGTGCAGTCAAGTGACTATGCCTAATATGAGTAGAGTTTTTAGAGACCTCTAGAACAGTCTGTTCAAGACCCTTATGAGCCTTTCTTTAAAAAAAAAAAAAACAAGTTTATTGAAATAATTCACATGCCATAAAATTCACCTATGTAAAATGTAAAAGCTGAATGGTTTTCAATACAGTCACAGATATGTACAACCATCACCACAAATTTTAGATTATTTTCATTACTTCAAAAAGAAATCCTGGACTCTTTACTGATCACACTCCTAAGAAAACACTAGCCTATTTCTTGTCTTTATACATTTGCCCACTTTGGACATTTCACGTATATAGAATTGTATGTGTTTTTTGTGATTGGTTTCTTTCACTTAGTGTCATCTTTCCAGTGTTGTAGCAGCCATGTTGTAGCAGATACCAATACTTCATTCCTTTTATGGCCCAATAATATTCCATTATGTGGCTATGTCACATTTTGTTGATCTGTTTTTTAGTTGATGGACATCTGGGCCATTTCCAGTTTTTGGCTATTATGAATAATGCTGCTATGAACCTTCTTGTATAAGTTTTAGCTTGAGTATCTGTTCTCAGTCCTTTGGCATATATACCTAGGAATGGAACTGCCAGGTCATTATAAAGCTTTCTTTACACCAAAGAGACAGATTCCCCAAACAGAGCCTGTCCACCAGCACAGGACAAATCTCTGCTAAGTGTCTAAGACCTCAGTGAATCTTGATCTATGCTGTGATGGATGACCACAAGTGAAAGAAAACAGCTACAGACCAACATGTAAAAACACATGAAAGAGAAACAGAAAAAGGTATGAGAAAGACGATACTGTAGCACAACTGAGGCCCCAAAGCAGAAGACATGTGGGACTTACTGTGAATCAAGTAAACCTTAATGAGCAAATAGCTGACACACAACCAAAAAATAGACATACTTTAGCATCTGGGCTGAAAAAAAGTGATGCATTCCCATTACATTTTTAGCACACAGATGGTATTTGCCACATATTTATTTGTGTCTCACTCTTTTTAAATGAACAGCCAAGAGAGATAAACAGAAAAAAGAAATTCAGAGGGAAAAGTGTAGAGAGTTAAGGTATACTAATTAAAAAAAAATTTTTTTTAATGTTTATTTATTTTTGAAAGAGAGACAGAGACAGAGCACGAGTGGGGTAGGAGCAGAGAAAGAGGGAGACACCAAATCAGGCTCCAGGCTCTGAGCTGTCAGCATAGAGCCTGATGCAGGGCTCAAACCCATGAATAGCGAGATCATGACCTGAGCCGAAGTTGGACACTCAAGCGACTGAGCCACCCAGGCGCCCGGCATACTAATTTTTTAAAAAAATACAGCTATTATTACTACCCTCAGAGTGATAATAGAAGATAAAACTGAAACAGAATGCTCTAAGAAAGGAATAATAAAAAATAAAGAGTTCCTGGAAATTTACAATAAGATCATGGAAATGAAAATTCAATAGAAGAGTTGGAAATTCAAAGTCAAGGACATCTCACAGAGTAGAATGAAAAGTTTAAAGAGATAAAAAGCAGGAGAAAAGGATAAGGAAAATCAGAGATCAATTCATGAAGACCAGCATCCTCCAAATAAGACTATCAAAAAGTGAAGCAGTAGGGAAGAAAGTGCCAAGGACACAACGGAAATTCTAAGGGCCCGGACCAATGAGTAAGAAAAAACCCACACCAAGTCACATCATTATGAAATTTCAGAACAGAGCTGAAGAAAAGATTTTAAAAGCTTCAGTTAAAACAAACAAAACAATAAAGCCTGACATCTAAAACTGGGCCTGTATGAAGGAACAGGAAATGGAATAAGCAAAAGTCTTCTCAAAAAGAATAGCAAGAGGGACATCAGCAAAAATTGTAGAAAAAGGAGTCTCTCATCCATGAAAGCACCAAGAA